GTGTGCCAGGGGCTCTTGGATGTCTCTCTATCCATGGACAGAAGGCTCTGACGTTTGTCAGTCACGTTGCTTGCACACTCCTTCCTTTGTATACAAGACACATCCATGAACACCCCCACGTATGGATATATTAATAGGATAGGGATGGATAGAGATTTCCCACAGAGCTGTAACTTTGGCATAACTCACCATTTAGCCAGAGACCAGGGGATTTTTTCCCAACTCTGTGTGAGAAGGTATTCAAGAGCTGAAGGAGCAGCATTCAGAAGCAGTTTCAGGATTTCTAGGTAGGAAGTGGAGCTCACAACCATCCACATGACTGGCCATATTCATCAGCATGGGCTTCTGATTTTTTAGGAATATGGCCCAATGCAGACAGGAGATCGGGAAAAATCCCAGCTCTCTGTGGGTTTGTGCAAAAGGGGGAACAGTAGAAACACTTTGTGTCTGCCTGGGGGACACAAGGTCCAAGGAGCTTTGGTGGCAGAGGGTGACCTGTGTGGAGAGTTTTGTGCAGGAATGGCTTGATGAGAAAGGACATAGTCAAATTGGCCTGATAAAACTAGATGGGAAAGGAGGCTAATGATATCTTGAAGGATAGGGTGTCCTTCAGAAGGGGAAGTCTCGGTAACAAAAAAGGAATGTACAGCATAATGAGACACATTTCTGATAAACAATGAAGATGTAGACTCCTCCTCTGTTTACTTTTCTGCGGATACCCTGAAGAAAACAGTCTAGCTGATATGAGCAGAAGTGTGAAGTGTTTCATTTGGACTAAGCTGGAGTTCAGTGCTGCTGACATCCTGATCCAGTCAAGAGCTGCAGAATTCTTTTGCACATCTTGAACCCTGTGTTTGCAGGCACAGTACCTGCAGTGCTGACGCACCAATGCCCGTGAATAACTCTGTTATTCCCTCTCAGAATTTGCGCTGTGCCCCAGCACGAGGTGCTGCAGCCCTTTGCTCCTGGTTCCCGTGTGGAGCAGCTCCCTTCCCGCTGGCTGAGCTGCTCAGGCAGAGCCCGGCAGCTCCTGGCCTTGGAAACCCTCTCCTCTCCGTGTCCCAGAAGGAATTGGATGGACTGTGCTCTTCTCTCTGAGTCGTCTCGTTCAGCACGAGCAGCTTAGCACCAGGAGCTGAAGGAGCTGAAGCCTCAGGCCTTAAGAGCTGAGGAAGAGGTAACTTTTCAACCAAATTAATGCGGCCAACATGGACCTGGATGATTGCAGCAGATGGAAATTATTGATTCCTTTCTGTTGGAAAAGACCGCTGAGCTTATCCAGTCCAGCCATTCACCCAGCAGTGCCAAGCCCAGCACTAATCCACATCCCTGAGGTACCAAGGCCTGAACAACAGGCCCTGAACCAAAGATGACCTCTGGATGAACCTTCCAACCAAAGGTCATCTTTGTATCTGCTCATAAGAGAAATATACATGGTCATTAGAGCTGTGATAGATATACCCTCTCATTAACGAAATATGTATTGACCTTTCTGTATTTAGAAGCTGGACAAGGCCATGAAATCCGACATTGGGCTTTGTTTGGGGCTGTGTGGTCAAAGTCAGCTCCCTTGGTTCATCCTTGATCCCTGGCCAGGCTTTGGGTGGAACCAAGAGGAGAATGAAACCAGATTTCCCTGGCTAGAAGTGCTTTCAGTTTGTTCATTCAGCACTGTCAGAGCTGGGCCCTCTCACAGCGGGGTTGGAGCCTCACCTGTGGCTGGAGGCACCTGCAGGAATTCCCAGTGTCCGGGAGTGGCTCTGCAGCCCTTGGCTGTGACAGTTTCCCCCAGCTGCTGTGTGGATCTGGGCGATGGTAAAGCCTGAGGGGAACTGGGGCTGTCTCTTTCTTAATCACTGCAGCCAATCTTTGGTGGTGATGATTGGGTGCAGTGCTGAGCTGCTCCTTCTGTGATTCTTTGCAGTTTGTATTAAAATAAATCACACAGTTCCTGAACTTGGTGTCTGTGTCCTTGGTGCTGACCCTGCCCACCAGCAAAACAGATAATGTGGGGCCACAGAACCAAAGGTGCCTTGTGACACTGTGGGGCCTCGTGTGACCAAGGGGACTGGAGTGACATTGTGGGGCCTCATGGAACCATGGAGACACTGCAGGGACTCATATAACCAAGGGCCCGTTGTTTTCCTCTCCCTGCCCCAGCCCAGCTCTGTCTGGCCCTGCAGCAGGAACTGCAGGCACTGGAGGTCAGGGACAGCCACTGTGTGTCTGGAATGCTCAGCAGATGCTCAGCTCGGGCAGCTCCTGCAGCCCCAGGGCCAGCCCCACTGCCCAGCCCAGCAGCACAGAGTTGGCCCTGGGGCTCCTCAGGCAGCTCCTGCTGGCCCAGAGACAGGGCAGCCTCTGGCCAGGGCTCCTCTGCACAGCCACGGGCTCCTGCTCTGCTCCTGGCCCATGCCAGCTGCCCCCAGAGCCTTTCCCAGGGGAACACGTCTGGGCTGGCCTGAGCAGCCATTGCTGCAGCCACTGCCCTGCTGCCCAGAGCCCCAAGCTGGGGCTGCTGCTCTGCAGAGCACGGGGGCTGTGCTGCCCGGGGCCCTGGGCTGCCTCTGCTGGGCTCTGCTGCTCAGCCTGGCACACAGAGATTGGGAAGAGTTACATTCTGAAGGCTATGCAGCAGAAAAGAGAATTTATTGCTTCTGAAGATACAGTCTCCAGTTTTCCCAGGGCATTCTTGAGCTCCTGGTTCCTCAGGCTGTAGATCAGGGGGTTCAGGGCTGGAGGCACCACTGAGTACAGAACTGACACTGCCAGATCCAGAAAGGCACTGGCCCAGGCAGCTGCTGCCATGTGGGCACAAGCTCTGCTGCCCAGGAGGGTCCCATAGTGCAGGGGTTTGCAGATGGACACGTAGCAGTTGTAGCACATGATGGTCAGGAGGGAAACTTCTGCTGAAAAGAAAAATACAAACAAAAATACCTGAGCAGTGCATCCTTCATAGGAGATGTTGCTGGTGTCCCAGAGGGAATTGTGCATGGCTTTGGGGACAGTGGTGCAGATGGAGCCCAGGTGGCTGAGGGCCAGGTTGAGCAGGAAGAAGAACATGGGCGTGTGCAGGTGCTGGCCGCAGGCTACGGCGCTGATGATGAGGCCGTTGCCCAGGAGGGCAGCCAGGGAGATGCCCAGCAAGAGGCAGAAGTGCAGGAGCTGCAGCTGCCGCGTGTCTGCCAATGCCAGCAGGAGGAAGTAGCTGATGGAGCTGCTGTTGGACATTTGTGCTCTCTTGGCATGGGGATCTGCAAAAAAAGTAATCATGGAATAGTTGGGTTTGAAGAGGATTATAAATATCCCAGCCCAGCTTGGGGGCAATTTCCCCCCACTGCCTGCCCAGGGCTCTGCTGCCTGGAGATGTCCCTCTTCCTGTGAGGGAACTTTGCATAACTATTTCGAGTTTGGGTTTCTGCTGTTGATGAGTTACTGCTTCATTCTCAGCACTGCTGTCAGCCAGAACACTGGAGAGCCCAGAAGGAAAAGAGGGTTCCCTGTGCCCCAGAGCAGTCAGACCTGCAGGTCCCACACAGGTGCCCTTTGCTTATTACATCTCCCTATATTTCAGGGTGATTGCACTTCAAACATGCTTGCAAATAAAATGGACTTGCTGAAGTCTATAGATTCAAAGTCAATTTCTCTAAACTCTTCTATCTTTCCCTGTGCACCTTAGACACTTGGGGCCAGGGATTCCTTCCAACCTCAGCCACTTTGGGTGGGCTGGGGATGGCCCCAGGGCAGGGGGCAGTGTGCGCAGGGGCCCTTTGTGACACGGTGCAGTGTGGTCATAATGGCATGGAACGGGTGTCCAAGGACCCTTTGTGACACATGGTGACATAGGAGCTGGTGGTGACAAGACCACGCCACAGTGCTCAGAGCACGCAATGGGACATGACAGGACAGAGCGGTTCTGTGAGGAGCCCCCGCACAGCACACTCATTCGTGTCTGACCCGGAGCCTTTCCGAGGCATTATTCCTGCAGCTGGGCTCGAGGCCAGACCACAGGACTTGCTGACCCGTGGCCTTCCTGAGGCTTCTCTTCTGCAGGTGCCCTCGAGGGCAGACCTTGGGACTTGGTGCCCCAGAGGCATCTCCCATCCCTGCTGCCGGTGCCCTCGAGGCCAGACCACAATCCGTGACAGGAGTCTCCTGTCCTTGTGGCAGGAGCCCTCGAGACCAGAATGCAGGACTTGCTGTCCTGTAGCCGTATTGAGCCTTCTCTCTTGAAGGTGCCTTCCAGGCACAACTGTAGGACTTGCTGACTCTGAGGTTTTCCGAGGCATCTCTCCTGCAAGTACCCACAGATCCAGTCACTGACATGGAGCAGAGATGCCTGAGAGTGCCCAAGCTGGCCAGGGAGGAAGAGGAGGAAGAAGGCCCTGGAGCTGCCCCAGCACAGGAGACTGAAGAGGTGGTGCCACTCGAGCTGCCACAGGAGGGTGAGTGGCAGAGCTGGTGCCTGCAGGCAGCTTGGCATCATTGCATCCCATGGCATCCCATGGCATCCCATGGCATCCCATCCCATCCCATCCCATCCCATCCCATCCCCTGGGGATATGCCCATGGACAGGACGCAAGAGGGGCCGGGCAGACACCCCGCAGCAGCCGTGCTCCATCCCCTGGGGCATCCCGGGGCTGTCCCTGCCTGGGGAGCGCAGGGCTGGGCTGTGTTCTCCGGCCTCTCCCACAGCCCCTCAGCTCTGGCTGCGCTCGCTCTTTGCCAGATGCAGCCGTGGGGCGGACACAAGAGCAGGACCCTGCCCGTGGCCGCTTCCGCAGAACAGCGCAGGTACCTGCAGCCATCCCCACCTGGGCTGGGCCTGCTGTCACCACACTTGGAGCAGTCCACGGAACATCCCTGGCTTCTTGCCCTTCTCCCACAGCTGGTTTGCAAATTCATGAAGAGAATTCGGCAGGAAGAGACCAGCACCATGGGCACTGGGCTCAGAGTGTATTCGCCCATCTTCAAAACCAAGACCAGTGCTGCCCTGCTGGATATGCTCGTAGAGGAGGGTTTTTCCAATCCACAGCAAGTAAGCAGCCTGTGGCCAGGGTTTGATCCTCCCAGGAATTGCTTGGCCTCCCAAGCCACACCCGCTGGTCGCTGGAAGCCTTTGAGTCCATGGCAGTGTGGTGGGAAGGGAAGCACTTCTCTGGGGAAGCTGGGGAAACTGCTCCCTCTGGCAGCTTTCCAAGTCTCCCCGTGCCTTCTCCAGGTGCCCGCCATGGTCAGGTACATCCACCAGTGGCTCATGGCCAATCAGTTTGTAGAACACAGGCTGAACAGGACCCTGCTGGATCTCACCCAAGCACAGCCAGCTGACGTCGTCATGACGCTCCTGCGTGTGGCCCCATCCTGTGACAGGTATGGGGCCCACCTGCCCAGAGGGCTCAGGGCTCCCCAGCCCATCAGCCTGCACAGCCTGTCCCAGGTCTCTGACCAACAGAGACTTCCAGGGCCCTCTGGCTGCTCCCTTTGCCAGCCCTGGCATGTCAGTCCCCGAGCCTGCTGCCATGCTCCCTCACTGTCCTTCAGGGGCCTGTCCCCACAGGGCTGGGCTGCCTGGGTGCTGCCGGCGAGGGACAGAGGGCAGAGGCAGATCTGGCAGCCAGCTCAGGTCCCCACTGCTGCCCAGGCCACTGTGCTGTGTCTGAGACCCCCCTGAGACAGAGCTCTAACCCCACAGAGCTGCTCTGACCATGTGGAACAGCATCATGTGCTCGCCCAGGACTGCAGAGTCTGCGCTGCTGATACTCCTGGATGTGCTGGGGAGCTGGCCCGAGCACAGCACGTGCACCTCGGATGGGGACAAAACGGGTGTCTTTGTCCTGGCTGTGAGTTTCTGCAACTGGCCTTTGTTGGCCCCAAGGCCCCCTCTCCAGCAGCTCTCCATCCTCCTTCCCCCACTGCATCTCCCTGCCTCAGGCACGGGGCTGAAACCTGGCCTTGGGGCAGCTTCAGGGACACCAGGCCCGGTGCTCCCCTGGGTCTCTCCAGACCTCTCCTTCCCCTGCTTGGGCCCTGCTACACGGACACCTCAGCACTGAGCGCTGTTTCAGGGGGCTTTGTCCTTTGCAGGCAACTGTGGTGATGTGGAAGATCCTCCAGGTGCCCTGCGTCCCACATACAGTGACTGTGTATTTCCCCCGTCTCTTTGTGCATCTGCTCTTCCAAGTGTTCTTCAGCACTATGGATATGCCAGAGGAGGTCGATACCTTCTGGAAGGGATGCCAGCAGCAATATGGCCTTGCCACCAGCCCCAACAGGTGCTCCATCCTAGACCTCCTGTCCCTGCCACGTCCCTGGGCAGGAGCCAGTGCTCCCAGCGTGACCTGGGCTTTGCTCTGCATGCAGGTTTGCAGTGCGGACCCTTAAGTCCCTGCTCTGCCGAATGCAGCACGAGGATGTGGTGGTGGGAATGGAACGCAAGTGTGGCTGGGACACGCTGCTGTGTGCTGACACCCACCACTATGCCGTGGGTCTGCTGGCCAGGTGAGACCCCCTTCTCCCCACCGCCTCTGACATTTGTGCTTTGTGCCCGGGGTGCCCCACACAGTCCCTGTGGTCATGAACCAGAGGGCCTTGTCACTGACGAATAGCCAAGCAGAGTGGAAAAGGCTGGGAGAGGAGGGTGCCCATAAGGTGCCACCTCCCAAACAGGCCAGGGCCCCTTGCAGGATGCTGGGGAAAGACCAGACCTCTGTGAGTCAATCTTGGCAGAGATTTGTACCCCCAGCCCACAGTCTTGGTTACTTTTTCTCCTGCCAGGGAGATGTCCTGTGTCTCCATCCCCTTGTGTTCCCGGATCACTCGCTACCTGCTCCGGCTGCTCAGCACACAGGAGCCACGCTGGGAGCTGCCCGCCCTGGCGTTCCTTGTGGAGGTGAGCCTGATGGCCAGTGCTGCCTCGCTGAGCTGGTGAGTTTCTGCAACTGGCCTTTGTTGGCCCCAAGGCCCCCTCTCCAGCAGCTCTCCATCCTCCTTCCCCCACTGCATCTCCCTGCCTCAGGCACGGGGCTGAAACCTGGCCTTGGGGCAGCTTCAGGGACACCAGGCCCGGTGCTCCCCTGGGTCTCTCCAGACCTCTCCTTCCCCTGCTTGGGCCCTGCTACACGGACACCTCAGCACTGAGCGCTGTTTCAGGGGGCTTTGTCCTTTGCAGGCAACTGTGGTGATGTGGAAGATCCTCCAGGTGCCCTGCGTCCCACATACAGTGACTGTGTATTTCCCCCGTCTCTTTGTGCATCTGCTCTTCCAAGTGTTCTTCAGCACTATGGATATGCCAGAGGAGGTCGATACCTTCTGGAAGGGATGCCAGCAGCAATATGGCCTTGCCACCAGCCCCAACAGGTGCTCCATCCTAGACCTCCTGTCCCTGCCACGTCCCTGGGCAGGAGCCAGTGCTCCCAGCGTGACCTGGGCTTTGCTCTGCATGCAGGTTTGCAGTGCGGACCCTTAAGTCCCTGCTCTGCCGAATGCAGCACGAGGATGTGGTGGTGGGAATGGAACGCAAGTGTGGCTGGGACACGCTGCTGTGTGCTGACACCCACCACTATGCCGTGGGTCTGCTGGCCAGGTGAGACCCCCTTCTCCCCACCGCCTCTGACATTTGTGCTTTGTGCCCGGGGTGCCCCACACAGTCCCTGTGGTCATGAACCAGAGGGCCTTGTCACTGACGAATAGCCAAGCAGAGTGGAAAAGGCTGGGAGAGGAGGGTGCCCATAAGGTGCCACCTCCCAAACAGGCCAGGGCCCCTTGCAGGATGCTGGGGAAAGACCAGACCTCTGTGAGTCAATCTTGGCAGAGATTTGTACCCCCAGCCCACAGTCTTGGTTACTTTTTCTCCTGCCAGGGAGATGTCCTGTGTCTCCATCCCCTTGTGTTCCCGGATCACTCGCTACCTGCTCCGGCTGCTCAGCACACAGGAGCCACGCTGGGAGCTGCCCGCCCTGGCGTTCCTTGTGGAGGTGAGCCTGATGGCCAGTGCTGCCTCGCTGAGCTGCCTCCCAGCTCTCTGCCCTCTCGTAGCCACAGCTGCCCATGCCCTGTGCTGCTGCCTGGGCCCAGCCCTGTGCGGTTCTGGGCTCCTGCCGGCCAGGTCCCCTGACACTGCCCTGTGCCTTTCAGGTCCTCGAGTTGCTGGACTTGAGTGAACACGGTGCTAAAAGAGTCCTGCAAATCTTGTCCAGGCAGCTGCGGAGCGAGTGCAGGGAGAGGCATCACCTGGCACTTAG